TGATGATTCAAGTCAAGGAAGAAAATCTAAATTATTTACCTTGGAATCTCTTCATTATAATCCTTCTTTAATTTCTAATTTCATCTGCTTTTTCCAACTACGTTTACTGGGTTTACTGTTCTTTGGATCCTGGTGTAGGACATACCCATTCCTACTTCAGGGTCTTTGCACAAGCCATTTCTTTTATCTGAAAAGATCATCTTATAGATGATTGCAGGACTGCCTTTTTAGATTTCAGGATATGTTTTCTGCACCACACCTCCAGACCATTTTCTAAGTGTCACACGTATTTCTCCCCATTTATTCTCTAAAATAACCTTAATATATACTTACTTGTTTAGTATCTATTTCTGCATCAAGAATGTCAGTTCTATGAGAACAGACTCATGGGCTGTCCTGATTCACTACCATAACAATAAAAGTGTATTGAGTGAATGAATGAATCACAGACCTACTGGGCATGTCAGAGTATAGAACTGCATACCTGTCTCCCCACTTCCTCATTTTTCCTTGACCTATTTTTTGGTTGTAGGAGTCCAAGTCACTACAGCAGCCACAAATAGAGGATATAATTTCCTGATTATCTGCTTTTACTGATAAGTTGCTCTACTGAAGAGGCTGCTCATGCCATAATTCCACGTGATGAAATGCTCTACCTATGAGGGATGGATTATAAGGAGCAGCAGAAATCTGCAGCAGTCCTTGGCATTTACCACCCCCTTGTACAGGGTGGCAGAGTGGGCAATCTAGAAAAAGGAAGGTTAAGGGCTAGTGATGACATGTCTGTGAAATAATAAAGCCGCATACAAGGGAGAGAAAGTTTGCTGGTGTGGGAGGGCCTAAGCAGCTGCTCAAGAATCTCAATGACTTTGTGAACACTTGGAGATAGCGTAGCACTGGTATCTACCAAAACAGAATGAGTGTGCAAAGGAGCAGAAGAACAGTATGATAACAGTGGACCACAAAGACATGTACTAAAAGGAAACCATGAAAGAACAATTTTAATTGTGTGGAGTATGGATTGAGTGCTTCACATCAGTGAGGGTTCTATAGCAAGGATTGAAACAGTATTTAACTGACTTAAAGCTGATTGATCTTGTTAGGCAGTGAGACACATGTGAATGAAGCTACTGTATTCAAAGGAGCCAAATTCCAAAGGAAATTCACATGAGATAGTGCCATGCTTATGAGCATACATGGAGATACTTGACTATTGCTAAATTGTGATGAAATCATTGAGAATGTCATAGCAGGAACTCTTAACAAGAAGTATTAACAATTCTGCATTTCTAGTTCATATGGAAATGCTAATTCCACTTATGGAAGTAAAGTACAGGCATGGCATTATTATGGTTGAGACCATAGAACTGTAGACATGTAGAGTGGTGTATTAATAATATTACAGACATGTTTAGCATAAAATGCAAGCAATGGAGCTAAATTAGTTGTACTTTTCAGGCTGCATCTGGATTTCCTGTGAGCCTATTACCTTACAAAGCTAAGGAGAAGAATAAAGCTTCTGTGCTTTTTAGGGTGCTCAGATGTTAGCCAGTTTTTGTTTTTCCTGCAGCATTTGTCCCTGGAGAGTGCCAGAATCTTCTAAAGCCTCTTTTAGAAAGGCAGTATGTTATTTTAAAGTCGTAGTTAAGATCATCTTACTTGGGTGATGATGGCTGTTTCACATGGCTAACAGCCACACTTGCCTCACAAATAACCCAAAAGTATGTTCATTTTTGCCAGCCCTTGTGGAAGAAGGTATATAGTGGTTTGCAGAAAAATAGCTTATATAAATTTAAGTAACTCATCTATTTGTTTCCTTCTCTACATTTCTTAGGTAAGCAAGGAATGGAGTTAATATTGTAATAGATTTAGGGGAATGACCATTAGAATTAAATAAGTTACTCAATATATTGTGTATGGATTTATTAGAACTCATTGATCTCAGTGAGAGACCATGGAGAGAGAAAACCAGAAAGATTCCATGAGGGAGTGAAAAGGAGAGGAACTCTGAGAGAACATGAAGTTGAAACAGAATTTGATAGTATACACACGAAGATTTATTATTTTGCAAATGATGAGATAAGCCACATATTTGGACTTGAACATTCAATCATTCTTCTATTCTTATATTTATCAGTTACTGAGTGGTCCCTCTGGGCTAAGGGCTGGGTTAGAAGGTTGTATTTCAAGTGCCAACATGAATGCAAATATTTTTTAAAAAATTACATAATAAACTTCATGATTTTGAAATTGTTCAGAAATCCAGTCTGGATTATCAAACAGTCTAAATTAGAGAATTTTTTAATGTACTTCTTTTGTGTGTGTTTTATTTACAGTGTACACAGTAAGTCAACTTAATTTAACAAAGATGCCATGAAATGAACTTTGCTTAGTGAACGTATTAAAAAATTCCCTTTAATTGCATTGTATCATGTTTTCTTTTTTAGAAATATGTACTTATAATTTTGTCCTCTTAGGTAGGAGATACATGTCTGTTACAATTTGATTACAGTCCTTATTAACTTGATACACCCTTTTCTCAGAGTGATAGTAGAGACAAACTCCAGATCTGATTGATTTGCTACAATACCACCACATTTCTACTACTTTGGTGTGAATTATTTTGTATTCTGGTATGTTAAATGTTATGCTTCATCCTAGGACCAGGCAAGCCCTCCTGATAATTTGAGAAAATTTGTATAGGTATTAGTCAACAACCATATATCAGCATCTTGTGCAAATATGCTACTACCCCACCGTACTTCCTCCTTGCCCCAGGAAAACCTCTTGCTTTCAAAATGTTGTCCACTGATAAAGATGATGCTCCTACTCTTGATATACCTGATTCTTCCCCTTAAGGGTCTGGGCTTAATGTTGGGCAGGTCACATACTAACCAAGCATCACCAAAGGAAGCAGATGCTCTAGTAGCCCCAGTCATTTGTGTCTTTTCTTCTTCCTGACGTTAAAGAAGCACCACCCACCCAAAATGTTACATCTAAGCCTTTGTCTAATCCAGCCCTTCACCTCTAAACACTTAAGAAGCTTGCCAGGGACTGACAAGTCTGTTGGCAGTGGTGGGTAGGGTGGGTGCTCTTTACCCTGCAATTTTGGCAGGGAGTTATGTAACCCTTGTGTCTCCTTTTGGCACTCAGAGCTCATTTTCCCATTGATATTGGGGACCACAGGATTATGGGTTGTGTAGTTCAACTAACCACTTTGTTTAACCATTTTTTTTTCCTGTGGCAAAACAGGTTCCATATTTTAAACAGCTGAATTACAGAATAGTGATAGAACATCACTGGCTTAATATCTGGGGACTGCTTATCACCCTAACATACAACAGCCTGATTTATATCAATTTAATGCACAGTACAAACACAAGTGATTGAACTATACCAGTCTTAAGTGTGTGACTTAAGTTCAGATTCCAATTCTTCAAATTCTTTTATATTAAAAAGCAAAAGGTCTCCCTCACATAATCTGTAAGAATATATCTACCTTTTAAGCTGATAAAATGCAGCAGATAAATTCCTTGAATATTCTGGAAAACACAAAACAGGTGTCAGCATACTAAGTAAGCATATTCTATAATTATTTTCTAAATGTTTTGGCTAATCATTTGTGTAAATAAGAGGGATGGGCATAATATGCATATGTGTGTGTATATGTGTGTCTGTATTCACTTGTATGTACATGACATCCTTAGGAAAAGATGTAAGAAAGTGGAAATATGTGTTGCCCCTAACAGCATAAATGGGTTGCCTAAAGTCAGGAATAGGAAAAGACAACTACAGTTCACCCTACAGCACCTTGTACAACTTGATTTTTGTACCCTGTGTATGTTTTTACTATTTATATTAAAAAAATTGAAAAGAGCAAAAGAAGTCCTTGGCTGGTCCAACCCTAGCTGTTAATCTCAGCATCAGTACCGAGTGCTAATAGTTGGGGCTCTCACATGAGTGACTAACAGCACTAGACTCTTATGGTCCTTATCACTTGGCTTGACTCATGGAGTAGAAGGAATGACAGATGAGGGTAACCTATCTGCCCTTCACTGAAATGCTGTGTGCAGCCTCGTTGTCACCCTGTAAATGACTTGCTCTCTGATATACAAATCTTCTTCCTTGTATATGAGCATTTTGAGAAGTAAATGCCAGTAGAAACTTGGGTAGCGCAGCAATGTGACGTTTAAAGAATATTCTTTAATACCATTCCTCCTGTGTGGGAGTGAGTGAGGGTTTCCTGGAGAGTGAAGTTGATTTAGGGCCCAGGGATCAGCTGCTGAGGCTGGCACTTGGAGAAGACAAACCAAGCATTCACATCCCAGACCACTCAATACCAGCATTGTCTCCAATCCATCTTTCATAAGGGGGCTCCAAGGGGGGAGGGGATAAACGAAGGGGAGAAAAGAAACCTTTTTAATCCTGTAAAAGAAAGTGCAGAAAGAATGAATGAACAAGATCTGAGTAGAAAAAGCCAGTTGACAGGAATACTTAGTCTTGAAATCAACTTTGCTTTTAATCTTAGACTCCACTGTCAAGTTTCTTCTCTATTTTACATTCTCATCCCATCTCTCAGCACAGGACCCCCTACACCCACCCCCTTCCCACATCCTTCTCTGTTTCACTCCATTCATCTGTCCGGCCTTGCCTTCTCTCTGCTTTGTCTCTCCTTCCCATCTCCTTTTACCTCTTCTTCCCTGGACCCTTTCTCCTGTTGTTTTATAGAGTGAGTCCCTCTCCCTCTCCGCTTTTTCTTGCACAGAACCTCCAAGCTCCCTTCCTCTTCATAAGGAAATCAGCCAGGCCTCAGATGGAGCCGTTGTCCTGACAACCTCCAGGCGCATCAGGCTTTCCTCGAGGCCGGCTGCAGCTGGAGGGACAGTTGTGCAAAGCTAGGGGCCAGGCCTAGGGGAGGGCGGCGGGGATGACGTGGAGGGGCTGCTGAAACCCGAGGGGACAGGGCGGTGCGAGCTGAGAGGAGGAGGGACGGGAGAGAGACTGGAAGGGAGGAGGGGAGAGGCTCCGGGCTGTGCCACGGTGTGTGGGTTTCTTTACACTCCCTGGCAGGCTGGGTGCGGGCTCCCTCTCCAGCCCGCTCGCCTTGGAAAGTGGGTTACGGAGGGAAGGAGCTCAGCGCAGACACTGGCAAAAGAGCATCCAGCCCCAGGCGGACCAGAGGAGAGCATTTTCCTTTTGCAGGCTTCCCATCACCTTTTCTGGAGGGTTTTATGTCTGTACTCTCCTCCGCTGTAAACGGTGTTCCTCTGACTCCCCTCGCCCCCATGCTTGGGTTCTGTGCGGGCCCTGTTAAGTCTTAGAGGGAAAAGAGACTGAGCGAGGGGGAGAGAGGCGAAGTGGGAAGGACCGCACAGTGGCGAGCGCCTCCGCCGCGTGCTGATGCCAACCCTCCGTGTGTGAATCTCCCCGGCGGGAGCCGCGCGCGCACCGGCCAGAGCACGGCGGACCTGCACCTCGGCGTGGCCACCATGGTCGCCAGAGCTCAGCCCGATCGGAAACAGTTGCCGCTGGTCCTACTGAGATTGCTCTGCCTTCTTCCCACAGGACTGCCTGTTCGCAGCGTGGACTTTAACCGAGGCACGGATAACATCACCGTGAGGCAGGGGGACACGGCCATCCTCAGGTAGGGCTTTGGGGCAACTTTTCTCCTGTGCCTCAGTGTATGTGTGCGTGTGTGTGTGCCTGTGTGTGTGTGCATGCATGCATCCTCAAACTCCAGCCCCCGGTGCTGCAGGCTTGTGGTGTGTGTGTGCGCCTTTTACTGGCCGGCCGAGGTGTCTGCCAACACATGTCGAGGGAATTCTGGTCCCTGTCAGGGCCAGCAGGATGGGGTAAATGTTGTTTGTTCTTCGGACCTTCTTTCTCTTACCAAGAAAGCCTAACTTCGCCTGCAGTTTTAGGGTCATTTGGACAGTATTCTTGTTTTTGTCACTGTAGATACTTTGCACTTCAGAGTTTTGCTGAGGTTTCTTAATTGGGAAAGATGAGTTGTTGAATTGTGGCTCTCAGAGAGCCGTACATAGTACTACATTCTCCGGTGCTGTGTGTCTACATGTGTGTGTGTGTGTATGTGTGTATATGAACATGTACATCAAGGCTCTCACTCTGCCCCACAGCAGTTCAGACGGGGAGACTTTCTGTGAGGATCTCCTAATGGACACAGGGGGCTGGGGGGGCAATAAATCCATCTTAAAACTTTGTTGGGTTACTGAGCCTTTTCTGAAATGTGGGTAGAAATCAACACAAGAATGAACAGAAGAAAAAGAAAAGGAACTCTCCAAATAGCTGATATTTAAGAGTAGATGTATTAAGCACAGAGGTTAGGAAAGAATCTTGCAGAAATGGATATTTCAAATTGATTATTGACCTCAAAGTCATCTCTGTGCAGCTCCGCCGAGCTCTGAAATACAGTTTGGGATTGAAATTTGGAAAGACAGAGTCCCAAGTCCTTGGGAGTTTGACCCCTATAAGGGACAGTGAGCTGGATAAACTCAAATGGAACCTAGACATAATTCTATTCATAAAAAAATTCTAAGCTTCTTTACCCATTTCTTTTCTCCCTTCCCTCTCCCTACCCACTGCACATACCACTTGTCTTTTTTTCTAGCCTTCCTTAAATTTTTATCAGATACTAGCAAAAAGAGAAAAAGAAGGAAGAAAATATGAAAGAAAATGTATTCTTTGGAGCTCCTTTAAAATCTCATTCCATCCGAATAAAATGACCCAGTGTCAGTCTGTCTATCTAGCTAATATTGCTGGTTGTGGCAATAAAAGCAGTATACAATAGGAAATAAACCTCTAATGGGTGCTCAAGGAGCTGATAGTGCATAAACCCTGGGGCATCAGGGAGCAGTTCAGTAGCAGAGCTGCCTACAGCAGCAAAGTTTTCTTTCCTTTTTTCCAGAAATAAATTTGGTTGGCTGTCACAGTGTCCTGCTTTGGGATCTCTAGCCTTGTTAGAGAGCAATGTGTATGTGTGTGTTGTGCCTGGTGGGTTGTGTGTGTGTGGTGGCAGATTGTGAAAACTAAGAAAATCCTAACGTGTAAGTATTCCTTTCTTCATTTCCTGAGCATTGGGTGATTATGGATTCCCAAAGATCCTACTATCCAAAGCAGATTTTCCCTTCCAGCTCTCCAGCTCTGAAAACCTGCATGTGTGATTTATCCACACAGAGTAATAAGATTTATAGAGTAATTTATCTCTTTGCAAAGGGATTTGGACATGAAGCAGAAAATGTTTTTGCAAACACATAAGCATGCCATCTCAACTGCTAATATTCATACTCTCTAACATTGTTAACCCTTTACTAGTGAAGCCCTCTTATGTAAATGCTATCCTTAGATTTGTTTTCATTGATTATGGCTGAACATGGGAAAAGCGAATACCGTGGATGTGTAACTTTTTATTTAAATGTATATGAAATTTCTGTGTCAGCATCACCTGTGTCTTACGCTATGGTTACCAAAGAGTTAGATAAACATCTAAATGTTAATTCAGAAGGAAAAAGGTATTCTGATATTTTCATGCAGTATATGCATAGAAGTCTCTATGAGAGGCAGTCTTACTATATAAATATCTGTATATGATACATATGTGCTTCTGTGTGTCTACAGCTTGAAAGAAGTAGAGTTTTTTTAAGCATTGCACTTTAGTAGACAAAACAGTGTGGGAATGGGGTAGTGAGAAAGGAGAATAAATAATAGCAGCAGTTATTCCTTGGAAAACAGAAGATAGATGAGCAGAGCATGCAGAGAAGTTACCTGTGTGAGTCCGTTGCTTCCCAGACCTCACCTAACGTGCCCTCTTTTTTATTTCCTTTGCCTTGGACAAGGCTTTATTTCTGGGTTGATGGAACTCTATCAGAAGTAACTATGGAGAGAGTTCCCTTTGTTTTCTTAGGTGACCTTCTCAGTCTGTTCAGCTGAGTCCAGTAAGCTTTGTGGGTCAGTTTCCTGGTAAAGAATGGCACTCTTGCTTTCTCTTTACAAGTCCAGCCTGGGAAAGGCTTGCTGCCACTTTATTTGTGACATTTTACTGGGATCATGAGCTTCTAGGGGAAGAGAGGAAGGAGAACTTGATTCATTGGAAGCCACAGTACATGTTTGGCACTGAGAAAGTGAAATGGCAAAGGGAAAGAAAAAACCCTCGTTCAGTGAGTCTGTGGCCCTGAATGATCTGACCTGGCAATGGGAGACAAGGAAGGCTTGTAACGCTGGTGCTCCAGTGGCAGTTTGGCTGACTGTCACCAGAACCTTTAGCTTCATTGCCTTACTTTCACTGAACAAATGTTTCTTTTGGGAATTGGTACCCTTTTGGTTTAACTTTGATTCAAATGTGCATCTTGGTGGGAGAGCTTATACTAGTCTTGGGATCTTGCTCTGTGATTTCTGTATTTTGGGGTAAAAAGGGCTAAGGGTGACAAAGCTAAATGGAAAGAAAAGTACTCTCATGTACATCAACTCAACATGTTGTTGGCCAAATGATAGTCTAGATCTTTATGAGGTCCTTTAAGAGCTGAATGAAACCAAACTACCTTCCATCTCAAAGGCAAAGAATCGGGGTATGATCCACAGACCAGTGACAGCAGTAGGACCACTTGGGGCCCCTTCCTCATCCTCCTAAGCCAGCATCTGCATTTATTTGTGTGGGTGTGTATAAATGTATATTTATATTTGTCTAAATTCACAGCAAAATGTGAAACATACTTATCCACAGACTTTACTGTTGTAGAAGTTGTAGGTACTTTTTTTTTTCTGAATGGAGCCATCTGCCTCACCGCCATCCCCTAGAAGTGTAGAAGTTCATCAATTACTGGGTGAGTTTTTAGCACTGGTTCTTCATATCCTTTCCTGTTGTACACAGGCTCCCATAGACATTCACCTCCTGGTGTCTCTCAGCAGGTTGAAACCATGTAACTCTCTTAATAAATCGAGGGAAAAGTGGAAATAGTGTTCCAATCCAACCTGTAAAATTTCATTTTAGCATCCCATTGACTGTGTTTTCCCTGTTAGCAGCATATGTCTGAAAATACAATTATAAAATAATTGATCCCAGTGTATCTGTTTATAACTTAACTTTGTAAAAATTACCTGTACATGTGTATGTGTACATAAGGCATACATGGCTTTATGATGAAATCAGAGGGTTTACATTATTGTGATTTTAAATATTTTATATTTGAGGTATTGCAGTCTAATTTATTTCACAATGCTGACCCTATTTGACATTTGCAGGATATTATAATACTTTTTATGGTGATAACATTTTCCTGTTTAAATGTAAACATACCTGATAAGTGTTAGGTATGAGAAACTAAGTTAAGTTTTTAAGGTAATTACTTTCTTAACATTTCAAAATTCTAGGTCTTTCTTTCCTTATTTGTTCCTACACTAGGGAAAAAGAAGAAACAACATAACAAATGTGATTATTTGATAGTAAGACATCAAAATTTTGTGCAGATTTCAAGGGAATAGCGGTTTTTCTTCTATAAGACACCTGGAGTGCCTACATTCACAAAGCAGGCATCGACACTCAAATAAACTCCTTACACACTATGTGATTTTTCTACCACTTATAATTCACTATTTGAAAACAAATTTTGTGGGCATGGGTCTATAGGGAGAGTTTGTGATGATTATGGAGTTTTCTTTTTCTGTAGCTAAATCACTATAGGTAACCAAAATTTATTGGTTATTACTGTTACTTTAAGGCTCCTTCATTGCCCATTAAAGCCTTTATCTTATCTATTTGGTAAATAATGGAGTATAGCATACTATATATTGCTTAGGAATATGGCATCTGACATACATTTTTTAAAGGATGTTTATGCACTTGTTCTCCTTTATGGCCTGAGGAACACAGCAAACAAGTCTCATGTGACAAAGGCAAATTGTGAGAATTTGTGTTTCTGTAAGTACAAAGCACACAAGTGGATACACACACACACCACATGTTAAGGTGATGTTTCTGTTCTGTGTAATTTGACGTTGAATGAAGTATTTGTAGGGCTGTGGAGCAAACAACCAAAGGTGACTGACTCATCCACTCAATCAGCTGGTGAGGATTAAACATTTATGTTTTTCGAAGCTGGTGCCACGTAAAGCAAACTCAGGCCCCCAAAAGAGGATTAGCGCGTTTTTCTGTCATCTCGGAGAGCTCCAAGTACAAATGTCTGTGACTCCCCTGATAGGTCGCCTGAATACATACTGTCATAACCTGGACCCTAAGAGCCCTCTCCAGAAGGATGTCACTTATGGCTGATGGCCATTTGCCCTGTTCTGTGAATGTCGTGCCTGTTAGTCTGTAAGACTCAGAAGATCAGGGCTCTAATTTTGGATCTATCCTTACAAGCTGTGTGATTGTGAGCAAATCCCTTAAATATTTGGAGCTTCAGTTTCATTTGTAAAATGCTGAAACTATCTTATTTTAGTCTCTCTGTGAGGTTGTTTTAAGAAGCTCAGAAAAAGTAAAGTGGGAGATTTTGTTGAATGATAAACTGCTACATAAGCATCAAGTATCTTTGGTTTTCTAACACATGGAATCAGTTGTTCAGACTTTAGTGAGCTCTTCTTATTTAGACCAGTGTTTCTCACACTTTAAGGTATATCAGAATTATCTGGAGG